TTTTGAGCAAATAAATGCAGCCTTGGTGAGCATAAGAGACTTTTCAATTTGTTGTTTTTAATCTTACCAGACCCCAAACTTTCGAAAGCTAGTGTGTATATTGACCCTATACAAGTTAAGTGTTATAATTATTTATTTAATAAAACATATCAACTGAGTAGATTAGAATTATAACTAATTCCAATGTCTGATTTATTAAGTTTACATATGTATATTTCTTTGTGTCATTTGTTTGTGCAGAAGGTCCCTCACTTCTGGGATTGAGCCATATTTCCAGTATCAGTAAAATCTTCCCACAGAGTGACGTAGACATGTGGGGGCGTGTTTGAACGAGGCGTTTTAGGAGGGTGTGGACGAGTCTTAACATTTATAAAGAATATCTCTTTGGGTTTGAGACTTTAGTCTTTGCAACTTTAGGGATCTTATCTATTCACGAACAGCTTGTAGCACTCCAAAGAGAAAGGAAAACTTGAAATCGCATCATATGACCCCTTTAAAAGTCTAAGTGATATCCTGTTGCATTTGTGCCAATTTAAACGTTGAATCTGAAACCATAAAAAAAAAATTCAGTTGTTGACCCTTTTTCACCTTTTTTTCTTATAGTTATACCTATGTGGCTTATCAGGAAAGAAACTGGAGAAACTGCGAAAGATGGAGGCCCTCTGCCGGAGGGCTGCGCTTCAACCAGCCCAGCCAAGAGCTGACACACATAGTGATGGGTGAACCAGACCAGGGGATCAAAGTCTTCCTTGACAAAGCCACTCACAGGTCAGTCTAAATCCATATCACTGTATTGTTTTTTTCTTTTTTTATTTAACAATAAAAACACTAAACAATCTTTATTGTCCAAGTTGCTATAATGAGGACCTTTGAGGTGGAATTAGTTGCCGAATACACAATTTTCATGGAACATGTTGTTCAGATGGATCCTTCCTATCTAAGTTGGCCTCCTTTGGTCAGAAGAAGGTACAAATTAAACAATTCAAATGTGCTTCTCAGACATGTGTTTTTCCCCTCAGACCACATATAGTGACTGTGCAGTGGTTGCTGGACAGTTTCTCCCATGGATCCTTGCTCCCAGAGGATGACTACTTTCACCCCTCCTTCCTGCCCCCTGCCCCAGCCACTGTTGATATGCCTGCTCCTCACAAAGCCGCCCCCCGTGCCTCCAGACCCTCTGTAGCTCCCCCTCCTGCCCCTAGTCCAAGCCGACAAGCCAGAGCAGAGGAAGACCTGCTATCGCAATACATGGAGAATGACCAGACTGTGGGTGAGTTGATAGATATTTAAATTCTCCTCTGTCTACACCTGTCTATCTCCCTCATTCTTCCCTGCCTGTCTTTTCTGTAGTGGAGCTACCTCAGGCCAGTAATAGTACCAGCAGTAGGCAGAGCGTTTTGCTTCCAGAGCCTCCACCTGCAGGGAAGGACTCCACCTTGGTTGTAACCTCAGAGGGTGGCCTGTTTTCAGGGAAGCGATTTACACCTGGGTGCGAGGTGAGACCTTTTGCTCACTGTCCTTTCAAGTTTTATGTCTTCCTCAGTATTTTTGCTTGTTTTCCAATACAAATATCTAAACATCCTTAAATCAAGATGCATTCACTTGAGATGCAAAATGAACACATGACGTCTTGTTTCCTAACAAAATGAAGTAAGTTTATCTTTAAAACGAGAACAAATATCTGCCAATAGGATCAGAAAAATATTTTTTTTCCCTTTAAAAGGTAATTTCTCTAACCCCACTGGCAGAAATGATTGTTTTAATAATAAATTAACTTCATTTTGATGAATTTCTGTGTCTCCTTTCATTTATTTTGTACATTTTATTTATTTGGTCTTAAAAAGTCTTAAATTTACCTTCACAAAACCTGCAGAAACCCTGCCTTACAGCAAACCTAAGGGTTTAAAAAATAGCATTTTAAAACACAATTGCAATTTTACTATTCAAAATTATAACCGTTTTTAATTTTTTTTATAACCATTACCTTTTTCTCAGAGCTAATCTAATGTTTTCTTATTTCTCTCCCCCTACACATCTGTCTGCAGTGTTCAGGATTACTTTGTGCGGACTGCTAATCAGAGAAAGGGAATGCTGGCCAGCACTCATTTGGTACTCCAGACTCCTGAGGGCACTAAGTACCGGGTGGCTCAGAAATGGGGTCTACCTGCAGTCACAATCAGCTGGTTTTTAGAGTCTGCCAGAACAGGGAAACGTGCTGATGAGGGACGATACCTGGTTGACCTGCCTCCTTCTCCAGGTTAGTCAGAAGTAGAATTATAATGAATTTGTTTATGACTAATTAACAAGCTGTTGTGATGGATTTAAACCTGAAAATCAATTTTGAATGACTTAAAGGTGACCTATTATGCCCTTTTTTACAAGACGTAAAATAAGTCTTTGATGTCCCCAGAGTGTGTATGTGAAGTTTGATCTCAAAATACCCCACAGATAATTTTTTATAGCTTGTTGAAATTGGCACTTTTAGAGTATGAGCCAAAACGTGCCGTTTTTGGGTTTGTCCCTTTAAATGCAAATGAGTAATTGTTCCCGCCTCCCATTTCAGAAGAGGGTGGAGCTTCAAGATGTCATGCTCCGGCATACCGGCAACAACAACAGGACAATCTCACACAATCTGATTGTACTGTGCATAGTAACTTAAATGCGCGTTTATGAATTACACAGACGGGGAGCACGGCGTGATAAAAATAACAACATAGCTGGTCTCATGGTGCCTTTTGCATAATTTATAAGTTCCACTTGTGATTATGAGCTCGACAAATTCAAGCGGTCAACTTCACATTGCTTTCATATGGCTTTTTTAACTACCACATTCCTATTTATGATCATTCTGGTAGCATGTGAAGGCGGCATCAGTGAAAACAGGCAGAGACAGTGGTAGCTTTTGCAACATTAGCCTTACAGAGTACCAAGAAGCTCTTTCAGAAAGGCAATCTGGAAAACAAAATATAACGCGTGATGCTTACATTGTCTGGAGCTGAAGTTCGTGCGCGAAGCGTTGGTATCGATCCCTCTTTCAGAAGCAAACTTTGCACAACTCTAGCGCTGAAGTGACCCTTGTTTGTGAGGCAGTCCGGCGTAAAATGATTAGCACAACAGGGCTCTACAGTGCGACTACTGCGTGCGACTATGACATTTTTTTTAGGAGCACCAGTGCGACTGACCCGATCGATCATCATACTTGTGATTGCGCTGAGGGGAGCTTCAAAGGTTTCTACGTGTTTTTGCAGCGTTGAGTAATGTATCATAGACATATCTCACGAATCATTTCATAAGCAGAGTTTAGACAGGGTGTAAATAAGAGATTCATTGCACAGTGTAGAGATCTTTAAAAAAGCATCATATGACCCCTTTAATACTGATTTAATTTGATTGGTAACTTATGTTTCTTATTCTAATTACAATTTTTTAAAATCTTATAAAATATAATTTTTTTAAGAATTTGACAAAAGATGACATACTTTTAATAAAGTTAGAGGAGTCAAATATCACCTCTTAATGGGAAGGCTACTTTTTGATAAAATTTTGGTTAATTGTTTAGAAGGTGCTCCTAAAATGTTTAAGTTAGGAGCACAAGTGCTCCTAAAAAGAAAAGTAAGTGTAGAGCCCTGCACAAACATATAGGACTTTTCTGGGTTTTTTTCCGGGACATTTCCTTCAAAAATGAAATTTAACCACCGTGTCCTCAGCGGTCTATGGAGACTCCTATGTTCGTTGGTGCATCCCGAAACACAACACTTGTAATGCCTCTTTGGCGCTGACGTTGTATCTCTAGCAGCTACAGCAAGAAAACAGTAATGGCGGACTGCTGCTTCTCACTCAGGGCGGGGTCTATGCTAATAGGGCAGAGATCGTCACAAATAGACGGGACTTTCCCTAGTATGACGTCAATATAGGGAGAAATCTGGAACCGCTCATTTGGAGAGACGAAATGTGTGAAACACACTGTGGCCACACAACTGTGTTCAAACATCTTATAAAAGTGATTTTTGCATAATAGGTCACCTTTAACACAATTTAAGAAATGTCATACACCAATATAAAATGGCCACTTGGACACCAAATATCACTATCTCTTTGTGATTTTACATAAACAGAACTGAGAACAGTTTTGTTGGAGCATCTCAGAAAGATCCGCCACCTCTGCGTCTCCATCATCGTTCCCCAGAGCTACCACTACTGGGCCCACAAAATAGTGCTGCCATCACCCCTCTGGACATGGCTCGCTTTCAGAGCCGCACTGTCCTCTCAGCGGTCAGAAAGTTGAGAGAGGGAGAGGAGGAACAGGCGGATGTGGCTACCCCAGGACAGGAGGACGCTAAAGGAGCCTTGCAGAAAGAATCTTCCCTCCAACTAGACACTCCCTCTCGATTCCTGAGCAGAGACAGACTCTTCGGACCCTCATTTAACAGAAAGGTGAGCTGGAAATGGGAAGGGATCTAATTTCAAGTTCATAAAGCATCTTTGCTTTGTTTACGGTTAAAAATGTTGATTATTGAATAGACTGATATAAGTTGTGTGTAAAACAGACTGTAAACTCTCCTCCGTATTCACAAACGCTTTGTAAACATCAGATTTGATAGTCAAACGTGTATGTTAAAGGGGTCATATGATGCTGCTAAAAAGAACATTATTTTGTGTATTTGGTGTAATGAAATGTGTTTATGCGGTTTAAAGTTAAAAAAACACATTATTTTCCACATACTGTACCAGATTGTGACGTAGGTATGTGGGGGCGTGTTAGAACGAGCCGTTTTAGGTAGGCGTGGTTAACTCTTAACTTTTATAAAGAATATCTCTTTGGTTTTGAGACTTTAGTGTTTGCAACTTTACAGATCTTCTTTATGCACCAAGAGCTTGTAACACTCCAAAGAGAAAGGAAAATTTGAAATTGCATCATATGACCCCTTTAATGAATTCCAATCATTTGTAAATAGGGTGTGCGTGCCCGCTCATTCACAATTAGCGTAATCCCCGCTTATGAATTACTACTACATAAGTTACGTGTCCAGGAACGCAGTGGAATATTCTGGACTCCTTTCTCAAGTTTGGCTCCAGTATATTTCATAAATGCAAAAAAGACTAATAGGCCATATGCCTAACAATAAATATTAAATTAACGTGTGTCCACCAAAGCGTTTTTTAGCCAGCTGAAGAAATGCCAGGCACTCTTTTAAAAACGGCCATCTGGTAGTGCTTGAGAATGCTTTGGTGGCACAGCATTTTTCCATCTGAGACTCTTTGGTTGCTATGATTTGGAATATCCATGGCAGTAATGTATTATTAGTATCTCATTTTGAAGAATATTACTGAATATATAAATATGCTGTAACCAGTAATATTAACTTCTCCATTGTTGTTCAGTTGTTGTACAAGTAGGGTGGTTGGTTTAATAGTTATCAACTCTCAGCTACCAAAAAAAAGAGAGCAAACGAACTTGTAAAATATTATGGCAGTTCATCAAAAATCTGTCATCAGTTTGGCAAAAAGAACAGAACATTTTATGCACCATTTACACATGGTAGGGGGCAGGTCTACATTTCTTTCATACCAACTAACATTTTGAAAATACGAACATTTTCATGAATTCGAAAGTTTACGTCACAATGGATTTGCACAAAAATTTGTTCTGCTGCTGTTTCATGAATGAGGCCCATTTCACATGCAGAGGAGTTAGCCAATCATAAGAGAGCTCATTTACATATAGAATTATGGTAACCCTTTACAATAAGGTTCCATTAGTTAATGTTAGTTAATGTATTAACTAACATGAACAAACAATGAACAATGCATTTATTACAGTATTTATTCATTTTTGTTAATGCTAATTAATGAAAATAGTCGTTCATTTATTACAGTATTTATTCATTTTTGTTAATGTTAATTAATTAAAATAGTCGTTCATTGTTATTTCATGTTAATTCACAGTGCATTAACTAATGTTAACAAGCACAACTTTTGATTTTAATGAATTACACATAGAGGATACAATGGCAAAACCAGCCTTAATTCTGTGGGTCAGAGAGAAGTGCACATTGATTAAAATGGTCATATGATGTTGCTAAAAAGAACATTGTTTTGTGTATTTGGTGTAATGAAATGTGTTTATGCGGTTTAAAGGGTTAGTTCACCCAAAAATGAAAATTCTGTCATTAATTACTCACCCTCATGTCGTTTCAAACCCATAAGACCGCGGAGGAGACGAATTGTTGAATAAAGTCGTTATTTTTTTTATTTTG